GGCTATACGCAATGTATGAATAATAATGTTCGTGTGCAAAATGTGTACTATATTGGTAAATGCATATTATTACAGAATAGTAAAATAATATCTTTTATTTCTCTCCATTTAACGACCACTCTTTATAACGCCGAAAAATGTTCAGTCCCTTAAGTGTTGTTATATAGAGTTTACACGTTAAATAAATAAATAAATAAATAAATATTTTTTTAAATTTCGTAGGTAGGTACTAGTTTCAGGCAGATAATAAGTAACTCCATTCATAAGATTAAGTACCTATTTACCGTTACAAATTAAAAATTCTCAGCTATACCTGTGGCATGTATGGACAAGAATTTACTAATACAGTATTGTTATTTTTGTGTATTTAACGTGAGAGATTTCTATCTGACAATGACCTTAACATTGCTAAACATTTTTTATACTCTCTTACATACGACTATAATAATCTAAAATATCCTAATTGAATAATTGTAAAGATTGAACATTTATTAACTGATTCGTAACGGTTTGGCATTCTGTCAATTAAGTAGATTAAAATTAAGTTAAATTTGATTTGCGTTAATAATGTCATTAATTTTTTCTTCTCGTTCGACTAATTCTTCTTGGAATTCAATAAAAGATTAAATTTGAAGTCGATAGAGTAAAATCGCTTTTATTAGACTGGACCAGGAAGATTCTAGAAATAATTACATGGTCCTGGTATGGTACCTACCACAAAATAGTAATTACTCTATTTTTTCAATTGTATCGCCTTTTTTTAAGAAGTTGTTTATTGTTTCGTATCAGTAAGATTTGGAAGACCCATAAAAATCATGGAAATCAATTAAACGTTTAACCTATCGAGAAAAAAAGCTGATTGAGTCAGTTGTAATGTTTTGTACCAGGAAAAGGCACTTCAGTGGTGACATCGCCTTTTTGTCTAGTGCTTCTGGTAACAACTGATTCATATAGAATATGGGTTAAAGAAACAATATACTTTTTTGTGTACTTCTGTTTAGGTCGAACAAGTGGAACAAGAAGTGTGTTAAAATTTTAAAAATGGCACATTTTTTCTATTACTTTTAATAACATGTGTATAAACATCATATTGGTGCCATTTATAACACACATAAACGCGTTTTTAGAAACATTGAAGTTTCTTGTTCTTACCTTGATGAACGGGAAACATTGACACTGAACAACCGGATAGCTTACCATAATGGGCACCTTTGGTCTACATATGTATGTATCTATATCTATGAGCCAGTACTTTCATGGGTTACTGCGAAAAACTTGTTTATAATAGGATACAACAAGAAGTATTGCATATTATGTAGGCACATGCATGTTTGTGTGGTAGAGATCTCTCGAAACCTCATGGGCCGCGAATTGTGCGAGGGGCGGACCTTATTATGTACATTATGAAAACATTGACTTTGATGTTTACCATGTGCCTCGCTGTACTATCAAAGATGGAGTTTCAAGCTTCAAGTAGAAACTACGGTGATGCCCAATGATTTTAAGTAGTAAAAATTAATGAAGGGTTGGAGTTTTGTCATTGCGTAAGCCAAGGTCATGATGCATGAGATTCTTAAACACCTCTATATAGAGTTACCCATATTGATGCATTTTTACTGCATTGTGTCGCTTCATGTGCCTCGCTGTACTATCAGAGATGGAGTTTCAAGCTTCAAGTAGAATCTACAGTGATGCCTAATGATTTTAAGTAGTCAAAATCAATGAGGGTTGGAGTTTTGTCATTGCGTAAGCCAAGGTCATGATGCATGAGATTCTTAAACACCTCTATATAGAGTTACCTGTATTGGTGCATTTTTGCTGCATTGTATCGCTTCAATTGCAGACGAACGCATAACAAAAATGGCAGTGTGGATTGACGACCTAATTTTCTTTTATAAGCAGATCAGTTCGTACGTTTTTTATTACCCGCAATAAATTGAAATGCCTGCAACTTTCATTTGAAAGAAAATCTAGGAAAATGGTATTTGCTCTAAATAAAGTGTAGAAAATGACGCACAGCAAAAGGATTTTCACTAAATTAATCAATCAACGGACAATTTTTGTTGACGACTTGATTGGTAAATATTGTTTTGACATAATTATTTTATTTGCAACAGCGGCGGACGTTAATAGATAAGAAAATTTATTAGGTTTTTGAAAAAAGTACAAATAATAAATAATAATCAAAGATTATCATCTCATTTACGGTACAATTATAATTGGAAAGGTACCCAGGAAAACCTTGGTGTCCATTATCGTTACCTTTTGCTGTAGAAAGTGAAGATGTATTGTACAAAGGTGCAAAATTAGACGCCAGTTTTGCCACTTGTTTAATTATTGAAGACGATAAGTTGTCGGCTGGTGACATATTGATTTAATGGACTTACATTCACCGACGCCTGACATCCAATAAATTGCGTAATCCTTGAACGACGCATATCAATCAAGTCAACAAGTCCTCTGTAATCACTTTTCCGTACTAATCGGGAAAAAAATGGCTGATGTTACCCAATACGTAGATGAATGACTTTAAAGGTTCAGCCTGACCGTAAAATGACCCACCAGTGACCTTTAACACTCTACTGATAGCAAATGTTTTCATCATTCGTTACTTTTATGGAAAAATAGACGACGTCACGTCATGATTTTCCATGTCATCTACGAAGTCAAAAAAGAAAAAGCTTTTGACAATGTTAAATGGGACAAGATGTTAAATATACTTAGGAATGTAGGGATGAGTTACAGAGATAGAAGAGTGATTAAACTTAGTTTGTATAAAGAGCGACAGGCAGTTATAGAGCTGGGGGATGCAACGTAGAGAAGTAAATATTTGGAAGGGAATCAGACAGGGATGCACCCTGTCACCGCTACTTTTTAATCTATACATGTGCTTAGATTTGCAGGTGATATAGCATTAGTATTAGTATCTAGCAAGGAGGAGTTAGAGATAGGTTTCAATAAAATGGAAGCGATATTGACAAAACAGTACTGTATGAAAATAAATACTGGTTTGCAAGGGAAGGAAAAGTAGGGAAAGAGCGAATATAAAGATAGGAGACGAAAAATTAGAAGAAGTGGCTGATTTTAGGTATCTAGGAAGTCAGATAAGTCAGGACGGCAGGAGTAGTAGGGATATAAAGCAGAGGATAGCGCAGGCATTTTACTGGTGCGAAACATGGACAGTGGGCGCGGCGGAAAAGAAAAGGTTAGAAACATTCAAAATGTGGTGTTACCGATGAATTATGATGGGATACCGTGGATAGAAATGGTTAGAAATGAAGAGGTATTAGAAAGAATAAGAGAACAGAGGACTTTATGGAAGTCAATAAGAAATAGGCGAGATAGGTTGACAGGACACCTTCTCAGGAATGAAGGTCTAGTCACAGATGTATTACAGGCAGAAATAGGAGTTATGGGGTAGAGGTAGATCTAGATTAGATTACTGTTCGTAAATAGTTAAGGACGTGGCATGTTCTAGTTTTAGGGAAATGCAAAGTTTAGTTCAGGATATGGAAGAGTGGAGGTGCTTGTCCAACCAGTCTTAGGACTGACGAGCTTATGATGACGATGACGAACTCAAATAACTTGGGATAAATAAATTCAAGAAATGAATTTTCAGAATAATATTTCATATTAAACTAACTCACTTCTAAAAGATGTCTAAAAAATTGTATGTATGTTTAATCATAGTATATATTGGTTCGACGGATTTGTGACCTAATAAGTACGGTTTGTCGTTGTTGCTGTTGTCATCTCTCGTAGCTTAGTGGTCAAAAGCATTGGCGCGTAAAGCCAAAGAGCCCGGGTTCGATTCCCGGCGGGGGTGTGACAACAGCAACAAATTTTTCCTCATTAATTTGAGGAAATGTGTAGTGGGCAAAAAAGAATTCAAGAAATGAATTTTCAGAATAATATTTCATATTAACTTGGGATTATCTTCTAAGACATGAACGGCCAATTAGAGACATATTAGAAGCAGAAGCAGGACTAAAGAGGAAGTAGATGTAGTGTGGGTGTATGCCCAAGTACAGAGGGTAGTAGTTCAGTCTACTGGATGATGATCATTGTAGGTATCTCCTTTCACGCGAATAATTAGTATGCTTTCTACGTAGCGTTTGTCACATGAATGTAACTTTATTTTGATCATCATGGTCAATTGCGAAGTACGATAATGTAACGCAACAAGGATTAGAGGATGTGATATGATCGTAGCTTACGTTTGGGCTACCGATTACTTAATTAGCAATCACCTTTGGACTGACTTGAGTGACATTGCGATTGTTTCAATGCGACAATGCCTTTAATGAAAAATAATGAATTTGTACACTGTCCATGTTCTTTATTATTATAAGGTACGTAGCAGGCCTTGATTGTGTGACGCATGACCAGCGAGCATTTTCTACAAACATTAACTTTAATTGTCTGACTTTTTGCCAATAGCAAAATTAAAAAAATACCAATAAAACCCAAAATATATCGATTAATTTTTATTCGATCTTCTTCTTTTTTGTTACAGATTGACCCAATAGAGTCTACACTTGGGAAGGTATGTATTTAAATATTAAAAAAAAAAATATGACATTTTCATACCTTATTGTCAGCTTCATTTAAATCAACATTTTTGGCAGATGTTAACTGAAGTTCAAATGTTGATCTTTCAACACCACTATCTCCTAAATCTTTTTCTGTAATCTGTAAATATTAAAAAATATACCATTGTTTGATTGCCATGAAGGTTGCATTAAGAAAAATGAAAACAAAACTGTTATTTTAAAAAGATTGTAATTGCAAATTTTCCATATAATTAACCGTCAATTATTTATAAGCTTGCAGTGTACAACAACAACGGTTTAAAATTAATTCGTGGTAAAGTTGTACGTCACGAAAACACGTAAATAGTTTGATATTGCATGCTTTTTTTGATAACTGTATCGATAATGTGTTTTATGTGGACTTGGTACCGAAAATAGTAAAAAAGCATGATTTCGATGGAATATAGGATAAGAATTTTCAATTCGATATTGTTTTGCGGGCTGTTTTGTCGTAATTCATAGAATTTCGTAGTTCCTTGCTAAAAGTACGATAAGTGGTGATTTGGCAGGTGCTGATATCAATTTGGAACTTCAAAATTCCATGGACCATGACATTGAACCCGGAAAACAATATCGATCCAATTTTTTAGATTATCCATTTCCAAGGAGTTTAGAATTTTTTGGGCTCTTTTCAGTTAATGAATTAGAAGGCATTCATCGAATGTCTTTTTGTCTTCTTTTCAAGCTTCTAATACCTTCAATGGCCAATGTGAGCAACTTTATTCATTCATCATTCAATATAACGTTTGATCGATGATACTAGCAAAACTTTAAAGGCAAAAATGTATTTTGCATTTTACAAATAGAAAATACGCTTGGAAAAGTATTTTAAATAAAATACAAACTGCTTTTCTCAAAAAAGTATTTAAATGCTAGTTAAAAATATGTATTTTTTATTTTGTATTTGCATTTTAAATGCAGGTATTTCAACTGAATCAAATCTCTGATCGAAACCGATTGGTTTAATGACTTTCGTTTCGAAATCTGTCGATCGAACAATATCTTCGAAATAAAATAAAACACTTACAGGATCAAGGGTGGCACAGGAGGCACTTGCAGATGGTTGAATTTCTTTTCCAAATAACGGATTTTCGAAAGTCTTGTCTAAGCTAACTACAGACGGTGCCAAAGACAAACGTCCTTCATCCTTGTTCTCAAAACGGGCAAACATGAAAGGCCTTCCTTCGTCTGTTGTCGTTTCTTGTTGATAATGATAATTACCTTTACCATTGTCCAGCCAAGGTATTCTGAAAATGCGACATAAATTGCCCGAATAGGGACAAGCAGATAATGACTAAAGAACTCTTATAATAATGTCAGTAATTTGTGGTAATATCATTGTTAGAAGATAATGATTGCTGTTATTACGTATTGGTAATTCTCTTTGCTAAAATGGGACGAAGGCAATAAAATTTGTTGGAATTTTTCTCTATTTACTTTATATAGTCAGTAAATAGCTAAAGAAGTCATCTATTTGTCGCTAAAGTCATTATAGTAGTAACGCTTCCTTCTTGAAAATCATGACATATTTACGTCTGATATAAATTACACCCTTAGTGTATGACCCAAAACCCCTGTACTACCTGCATCTTTTGATATCGTACTGTAATGAAGGGTTTTTATTGTTAAACATTAACTTACCTCACTGGGGCAAGGTGTTAAATATAGTTACGAATGTAGGGATGAGTTACAGAAATAGAGGAGTGATACTTAGTTTGTATAAAGAGCAACAGGCAGTTATAGAGCTGGGGCTGCAACGTAGAGAAGTAGATATTAGGAAGGGAGTCAAACAGGGATCATTAAAAACATTACAAGTGTAGGGATGGATATACAGGGACAAAACATTAGTATGGTTAGATTTGCAGATGATATAGCAGTATTAACATCTAGCAAGGAGGAGTTAGAGATAGCTTTAAATATAATGGAAGCGGTATTGACAAAACAGAGTTGTATGAAAATAAATAAAAGTAAAACAAAAATACTGGTATGCAAGGGAAGAAAAAGTAGTGAAAGAGCGAATGTAAAGATAGGAGACGAAAAATTAGAAGAAGTGGCCGATTTTGGATATCTAGGAAGTCAGATAAGTCAGGACGGAAGGAGTAGTAGGGATATAAAGCAGAGGATAGCTCAGGGTCAAGTCGCCCTTAATAAAAAGAATTCACTTCTATGTTCGCCGTATGGGTGCGAAACATGGACGGTGGGCGCTATGGAAAAGAAAAGGTTAGAATTGTTCAAAATGTGGTGTTACAGGCGAATGATGAGGATACCGTGGACAGAGAAGGTTAGAAATGAAGAGGCATTAGAAAGAATAGGAGAACAGAGGATGGAAGTCAATAAGAAATAGATGAGATGGGATAGAGGCAGAAACGGGAGTTAGGAGGGGTAGAGGTAGACCCAGATTAGATTACTGTTCGCAAATTTTTAAGGATGTGGGATGTTCTGGTTTTAGGGAAATGCGAAGATTAGCTCAAGATAGGAAGGAGTGGAGGTGCGTGTCCAACCAGTCTTAGGATTGACGAACTTACCTCACATTCGAAATGGTAAATCTCTGTGGTCCCATGAACAAAGCAAATATGATGACGAAAAAAATTACTGCAGCTAATAAAGTTCCAAAAAAAATTGAAAAGGAATGGCCAATGTAAGATTTTCTCAAATAATATTCTCCAGATAATTCGATTCGTACAGATTTGATCCCAAATTTACTTTGATCTACACAATCAAAAACATTTTTGGAATAGTTTTTTAGTTTTTCTTTCTAATAGGTAGGTACTTACTCTCGATTATGGATTCATAAAATTCTTTCGCTTTTTGAGAACTCAATTCGTTGTATTCACTTTCTTTTTCTCTAAAAACAATTTGCGAGTAGGTTTTTTCATCTATTAAAACGTTACTCATGTAACTGTCGACATAATCGTCTGGTAAAATTGTGTCTTGTACATCATTAAATTTGAAATCGGCATCATGTTCAAGTAGGACAGTTCCCCCTTAAAAAATTAAATTATTTCCGTAACTAACAAACGTCTTCATCTAGATTAGTGTGTTAATTAATTGGACATGATGCTGTTACAGACACGTAAACGTAAATGTAATTCTTTTTTACCACAAATGTCTCTGCAATGACCGATGGGTCTTATTGGAAACAAGCAGTTTGTTGGATGTTCTGGTTCTTTTAAGTTTTCGCAAACTGTCTTTTCAATTATGATGTAATCGTCGTCCATTTTGTGACAGAAGCATCCCTGCTTTTGCTTGCAATTTCCTTTTGGATTTATGTCCACTGAGATTACGGGATAGCTATCATTTCTTGAAAATAGCGTTCGTCCCAGATGGGTGTTGTACATAAATTCGTGAAAGTCGCTGTTGTCTATGTAATACTTAAACAAGTAAATATTAGTAAAATAAAAAAAATAATAATTTANTATGATATTTTTAAATTAATTAATAGAGGAGGTTTCACAGTTCAATACCTTGGGAAATTATAAGACATATTTTCCTTTGCAGTTTTTTGATTGGACTTTTAATTATCGAGTTATTGACAATTAAACGTTAACCAATAAGAGCCCGTTGCGTGCACGCTGCAAAAAGAAATAGACGAAGCGCCTACCGGAAACTGCGTCTATTGCAGCCTGCAGCAAGACTAACGCACTCTTATTGGTCGAATATTGTAATCTTTTACTGTTAATAACTTTTTTATTATAAATCGTATCTAAAAACTTAAAAGAAAAAAGTTTACTAAAATTTCACAGGGTATCAAATGGTAGAGGGAAAGTGTGAACATTAATATTTTTGATTTTTGGTGTCAGATAACTCAGGATGAAAGGAGAAGTAGAGATGTAAAACAGGGGATAGGGCAGGGTCGAATCGTTTTTAATAAAAATAAGTAACAAGGTTAGAAACGTTCGAAATGTGATGCTGCAGGCGAATGATGAGGATACCGTAGATGGAGAGAGAGAGAAAGAGTAGGATAATAGCTCAGATAGGTTGGTATGACACCTTCCCAAGCATAAAAGGGTAGATTAGAAACATACTAGAAGCAGGAACTGAAGTTAAGAGGGGTAGAGGTGGACATATATTAGATTAATGCTCACAAATAGTTAAGGATGTTATGGGATTATGGTTTTAGGGAAATGCGAAGATTAGCTTAAGATAGAAAAGAGTTGAGGTGCGTGTCTAACCAGTCGTAGAAGTGGCGATGACGACCCTATGATGATGATGATTTAGAAAATATTTACATTTTTTGAAAACATTGTTAATCGTATCGAATACTTTATTGATTTCTTTAGTGTTAGTATGTTGTTGAAATTTACCATTGGTATATCGGATAATTCAACGAACATGACGGAAAGTATCATGACATCCACCGGGGGCAATTCAATTGCAAAGGGGTGCAATGCAGAAAAAGCGACAATGTCAGAATGACATGGAACCCTTTCAACATGAGGCATGCTGGGCTTGCTATCGTTCTGTCTATCGTAATGGTACAATAACCAGTAATCTGGAGTTAGCCATTGAATGTAGTTCATTTCCCTCATTCTAATACCTGTAAAACGGATTTCTATTACCACAACCTGTAAATTACTTAGTATAAAAATATACTTTCGTGTATATTACAGCATAAAGAATGCCATCTAAAGGGGTTTGTCGAATTAACAAAATAATACACTAATAAAACACGTTTATTTTAGAAGACACAAGATGAAAGTAAGTTTTAATGTGTTTTAAGTTCTTTATGTGATAATTTTGAGACAATTTGTACCATAAACCAGCACCATCTAGCGAATATACAAAAAAAATACGAATTCACGAATATACACCATTAATTTTTAACCACTACACTTTTACAATTAAATTTAAAAATATATAAGGGTAGTGACAGAAAATTATATTCAATAAACAGTACGTTGTAAATTTGACCATTGAAACATCATCCCTTTCGCTAAAATACTTTCTGTGACTAGTGCCTGCCTGTATGTACCGGTATATTAATATTATCGAACCATTAGGGTAAGGGAATCCTTACATTTAGTACTCCAGGGGTTTATTTCTATTTCATCCCATATTTCAACGACCCCATTCGTCGGTAGAATAATTTGAGAGGTGGATAATCGGTCCATGATCAAGGGAGCCTTGGATTGCTCAGGCATAATAACTCCTTTACAACCCTTTGAATACTTGCCACCCTCCCAGTTACGAGGGTTCGAAACGAACGAATTTTCAGTCCATACTTTTATCATTCCAACTGCATTATTCCCTGCATGATAAAAATATTAAATTATTATTTAATTTGCCCATAGGTACCACCTACCCTACGTTTAGTGTAAATTCTCTATAACGAAATTCGAGGAACTAATAATTCTTTTTCTCTAAGGGATGTAAGGTATTATTTTTCGTAATAATAAGGGGTTGTTTCGTTATATTCTATTTTATTTATTACTTTTTTTAATTGTATGTATAAAAGTAATATAATAAAGTTACTTACATTGCAAAATTATAACGAAAACACAAATTGATGTGTACCACATTTTGACTGAAGATTGAATGTGTTTTTTCTCAATTTACAGTAATTTGATGCTAAAAGTGGGCGGATTTAGTGAAGCCATGCATATACAGGGTGTTACTAAATAATTATGTCTTTTATAATCCCCTTAACCTAATTCTGCTTTTGTTGTGTGTTTACTTTTGCTTTTGCTTTTGCTATTTTAGTTACGTTTCTTAAGTAATCGAATCAAAATGACTCATTTTCAAAGATTATTTTCTAATTAGTTTTGACGCATCCGGGGAATCCTTGAAGTGTAATTAGTCGGTCTGGTAATAAATTTGCAACGTAATTGCGTATTTATCAGTACTCTTTTTAATGAACCAATTAAATTGTTATAAACTGTTTTTTCGTAATGAAATGTTACTTTACGAAATATCTCTATTAAACAAATATATGACTAGAGGTGTGCAAAATGTTTTTTTAAAAGTATTTAAATACAAAATCCAAACAAATTTTATTGAAATATATCTAATAATTAAACTATTTATATTCTCGGTTCGAATAACAGTTGAAAATAAGGCCGTTGATTGTCGAAACTGAAATGCAAGGTAACAAATTACAAATACTTGCTACGTATGCAATACGATGCTACAATACATAATGTTATGTAAAATTAGACCTTTAGATGCATGCAATAATGGTTGTAAACATCATTTGTTATTATTGAAACTCATTGCAATTCCTTGACAGAAATAAAACAAAATTAAACCGTTTACGTTTTGTTTTCCGTTTTTTTTTATTGTTTGCCACCTTTACGATGATTTACGCAATTATTTTATTTCTGCTGTTTCAACTGTTCGTCTTTACAGATAATTGTTACAATTTTTAACACGTATTTAGGACATGGAGCTTTTTGCAAAACATTATCGCCACATTTACATTTTGATAACAGATTTCACGATAAGAATGTTTGTAATTGGTTTATTTGTACTTCTGATAACGAATGACGTTTTTTTAATTCGTATTGTTAATTTAGAAATATAGTAATTTCGTTTTTAACTGCAATATTTTATAATATTTTAAAATGAAATTCACAGTTCAATACCTTGGGAAATTATAAGATATATTTTCCTTTGCCGTTTTTCGATTGAACGTTTAATTATCGAGTTATAGACAATTAAACGTTAACCAATAAGAGAGCCCGTTGCGTGCACGCTGCAAAAAGAAGTAGACGAAACGCCTACCGGAAACTGCGCCTGATGCAGCCTGCAGGAAGGCTAACGCATCCTTATTGGTCGAATATTGTCATCTTTTACTGCTAATAACTTTTTTATTATAAATCGTATCTAAAAACTGAAAAGAAAAAAGTTTCTTGGAATTTCGCAAGGAATCGAATGGTACACTTTCGGGACGTGGTGTACATAAGTATCTATATATTTTCTGTTTGTGCTTTATCTGAATGACTAATGTAAGAAATAGCTTCTTAATAAGATAGCTAATCGTCAATAGCACACACATTATTGTTTGCATTCGGTTTTAAAAGGCAAGGTATGCAGGTGGTTGGTTTTCATATTAAGATAACATTCGTTTTAGGAGATACTTTACAAACATGAACCTATTGAGCATAGAAATTAATCAATGAAGTTCTACTTGTAACTAAGTGTCTATTTTGCAATGGTTTTTTTACACCCATGAGTACAATTGTTATTTCTTTTTTGTGAAGGTATTTACGTCAATGGTTTATGATATTTGGTAAACTGTACGAAGCAAGAATAAATTGCTAAATCACCTGTATAATGTTTGTTTATTTGTTTGCTTGAACGTAGTTATAACAACTGCTCGACCCTGATGGTATAGGATTGACAAAATGAAATTTAATTGAAGATGATAACATACGCTATCATACACGTTACGTGTTGCATGTTTATTTATTATCTTCTCACAAATTCCCATCACCACTAACTCAGTTCAGCGGCGGTTTCCATTCGATGTAGACGCTGCAGTCTTTCGCTGCCAAGTATTTCATTTGTTTAGTCGTAGAAACTAAACTATCAATTTTTTTTTTGTTTAATTGTTGGTGAAAACGGGCGCAATTGTTTTTAACAATACTTACGAGCGTTAGTTGTTTCGTTTAAGGAGTGTTTGTTTTGTTTTCGACTTCGACAAAAGTATCAAGAAGTGTAATATCTTGGAATTTACTGCAAGATATAGTACGTATCAGGAATTCTACTGCGGAACTTGGATCATGGCAGCTGTTAGTTGGACGATGAAGGGATTCAGGTAAATAAACCTTTTCTTGAATAGGTACTCTTCCAGGTAGTTATGAAATATTTCCGATTGAGCCTGAAATCTCATCAATATAAACGGTTTTGTCATATATATGTGTATACTAGCAGATAATTGGCTTGCGTGTTATTGTTATCAAAGATGCCATGTGTCTATATACAGTATGTCCAATATTATCTAATTTGATAGTGTTTAAATGAATTTAGTAGAATTTTATAGGTTGTCATAAAATTTGATCACCCTGTATCTAGAGTTCATTTGGGCTTTATATCTGTGTATTTATCATTAATGAACAAGAATCAACGCAGGTGTTCAATTAGCCCTGAAGGAACATTTTAATGATTTACAGTTTTTGTGATGATGTTTAGGTAAATATTAATTATTGCGATCGCAAATAATGGATTTATTATTACTATTTTTCTTTTGGTTGGGTTGACCTTCCGTGAAAATTTTTTGATGACGATGACGATCAAAATTGGGCAATGTCATTATGTAAGCCGTCTATGTTTACTGTAATGTACACACATTTTATAAAGATAAACATGAACGATGAAGCGCTTTCCAATCGCGAATCATAATACTTAATGTTTACAATAAATGACAAACAGAACGAAAATTGGGACAATACATTATGGATGATTGATTTTTTGTTGCAATATATGGCAGTATTTTTTTTTTTGTCGATTTGCAATGGTTAAAATTGTTGTGAAACTAGAAAACGATGGCTGTTTTATAGTTATGCAAATGGCGAAGGTGTTATTTGTAATAAATTTTGTCTTCGCTTCAATTAATACTTAATTAACGCCATTTGTGTGAATATAAAAAGAATTGATGGCCAATCATGAAGGCAAATACATACGAGGGTGGATTGATAAGTTTCCGGCCTAACCAAGAGATGACGCCACTAGGCCTACCTTGAGGTGACATTCTATAGTACCATCCTTGGATAGCTTGTAGCTATAGTTTCAGCCCGATCTCCTTGCTAGTGTAGGTTTGACAGCACGCTGAACAAGACGCCTCTGTGGTTTTCGTAAAAATGGAAAAGCAGGAAAATCGTGCTGTCATCAAATACTTTTATTTGAAGGGGTTAACGCCGAAGGAAATTAAAAAAGAGATGGACTCAACACTGGGGACATCCTCCCCGTCATGTTCAACCGTTAAGCAGTGGGTTTCCGAGTTTAAAAAGGGTCGTGTGAGCACCTCTGATGGGCCTCGCTCAGGACGCCCCGTTGAGGTCACAACTCCAGATATGATCGAAAAAATTCATCAAATAGTGCTGGGAGACCGCAGATTGAAAGTGCGTGAGATAGCTGAGACCTGTAAGATGTCATATGAACGTGTGCAACATATTTTGCACCAACATTTGCATATGGAAAAGCTCTGTGCAAGATGGGTGCCGCGTTTGCTAACAGTCGACCAAAAATTGATTCGAAAAAACATTTCTACCGCAAATTTGTCATTGTATAAGCGTAATCCAAGCGAATTTTTGCGTCGATTCGTAACCGTTGACGAAACGTGGGTCCACCACTACACTCCTGAAACCAAAGAACAGTCTAAACAGTGGATTGGACCAGGGGAACCAACTCCAAAGAAGGCAAAAACAATTTTTTCGGCGAACAAGGTTATGGCTACTGTTTTTTGGGATGCAAGAGGTATTATATACATTGATTACCTTGCAAAGGGTAATACTATCACTGGTCAATACTACGCAGACTTATTGCAACGTTTGAGCCACGAGGTGAAAATTAAACGACCTCATCTGGCGAAGAAAAAAATCTTGTTTCATCACGATAACGCACCAGCGCACACGTCAATCGTTGCGACGGCTAAAATCAACGATCTAAAGTTTGAATTGATGCCGCACCCTCCTTACTCTCCAGACCTAGCCCCGAGTGACTATTTTCTGTTCCCTAATCTCAAAAAATGGCTTGGCGGTAAGAGATTTGCGGACAATGAAGAAGTAATCGAAGCTGTAAATGGTTATTTTGAGGAGCTTGACGAATCAGTCTATAGAGATGGCATTAATAGACTGGAACACCGCTATGAGAAATGTATCAGCCTTGGAGGAGATTATGTTGAGAAATAAAAAAAAAAAATTTTTAAAAACCTTGTTTTTCTTGGTCAGGCCGGAAACTTATCAATCCACCCTCGTATTATGGAAAATGTGTTAGGCAAATTTGGTTTTTAATTCTTTAATATTCGAATGGTTTTTATAATTATTATTTATGTTCACTTTCAAATATTTCAAAATATTCAACAATTTATGTGGCAGTTTTGGAAACTAGATGGTAGGTAAACTTAATCATTTAGCATTTTTTAATTTTCTTATTGTTATTAAATAGTTATACCTAACGAATGATTTACGACAACAATTAGTCCAATTAATCGAGTTTCAGAAAATACCACAAATGGCGCGGTAAACGCCATCTGTAGTACGATGCTACATTTTCGGATAACGTATGCTCCAATAAGGTCCATTTAAATAAATGAATATCTACTTGCTGAAACGAATCCCGGCGTAGCTAACCTCAACGTGATAGGCACGTTATCATAATCGAATAATATATATATATATATATTATTATATATATAGATAATCATATATTTAAATGGACCTTGTTGGAGCATACGTAATCCTAAAATGTAGCCTCGTACTACAGATGGCGTTTACCGCGCCATTTGTGGTATTTTCTAAAACGCGCTGTTAAGACGGCAGGTAAAAGTTGGTCTGTGTTCTGTCGGAGCTGCGTGCGACGCGCTGATGAGATCCAAAAAGATCGAAATCGCGATCCGCGTCTGGCAGTTTCGATAGAATACAGACCACTTCGAATTATTTTATTTAATCGACTTTCCACTAGTTACAGAGGGCAGATAGGACAACACATCGAAATAAGAGTCACAGAACACACAAATATAAGAAAATCATAATTCAACAAGTCCCGATTATTATATATCTTTAACCCCTAATCCCCATACAAGGAAAGTAGATCATAAGAATTATTAGATATTTAGTTTAAAATAAATTTAATGAATTTTAGTGCCATTTCGTAATTTAATTCATGACTTTTCCACCATTGCATATGAAAACAGTGGATTTAACATAATT